ACAGCCACTAAAGTCCAGTGGCTGTTAAAAACCCAGATCAAGGGAGGCTATAAAACAAAGTGCAAGTACTGCCACAAATGGGCGCAGGAAAAAAAAAAAAAGAGGATGAGAATTATTTATATTCGTGTGAATTTGCCCAGCCAAAGTAAAGGTTACAGTAACCATCAGACTTTGTTTCTGAGGTCAGGATGTGTAACTAGTTTTGCACACTCCATCCTCTCAAAGCTGCTGGTACCAGTACAGTGCTGGTATCAATGCAGCTTCTATTCTTCTCACATAGTCACAGGAGAGAAGCAACTTTTTACACCCTATTAAAAAGCACAAAGATGAAATATTGTACCAAATCCCAGATGCAAGCACAAACCAAGTAGGTAACATAATTCAGGGAGGAGTATCAACTGCTCTGTAGTGTCAAAACCACAATCAACAGTGAAACTATGACAAAGTACTGGTGAACCTAAACTCTCCATTGGGAGTGAGCAACTGCCACTACTCGAGCAGAGATGGTGTAAGGCAGAAAGTCTGCGCTTCATCTTAAATACATATGATGACTAGCAGAAAAAAAGACTTCTTATTCTGCTAACAATGCTCAGGTCTCTGCCTGCAATCAAGCATCTTAGGAGACTGCACATCATACACCAGCACCTGACGTCTCAGGAGCCGACATTTCACAACTTAGGAATGGCTGCGATCTGTTTCACTTCGTGCAAATCAGGGCTTGGCTACACTGCTGGGGCAGAAGGAGGGATCGGTGCATGAGTACAGCTGTAAAGCTGTAACGAACTTATGTGAAAATACTGTAGTGCACATCTCATACTGGTGTGGCTTACCTTGTTTCAAACACTGGTGCAAATCACTACTGTGACAGATTTACACTAGGAATGAGCTGCTGAAATTGCATCAGTGAAAAAACTCGGGACAGACAAGACTAAGACAGGCAAGAATTCCAGTAGGGCGACTTCTCCTGCTATGTGATTAGTGTCTCAGTACTGGAAGAGTAAAACAGAGGTTGGGAATACAGTCACAATAACAGTTCCTTTTGGTATTTCCCAAAGAAAACTCTAAGGGGAGTGAATGGAATGGCAGGCGAGATCACTAGTCTTTCGGGTCAGAGAGCCCCAGCATGTCAGTAAAAAGAAAGCAGCCATTTCACTCTAGGCGCTTGCTGTTACACCAGCAAGTGATGATCCTCACTGCAATCCTTGCTCTGAAGAGACAACGCTGGATTTTCTGGTTTTTGGGGGTGGAGGGGGAGGTTTGGCTTCACGTCTGCTGGGTAGTGGTGGAGCAACCTGAGAAGATAAAACAAAAACACACAGAAAAATAAACCATTACTGGCAAGTTAAGACATTCTGCTTTACCAAACAAGAAATCCCAAAGGCCCTGTAATACTTGATGTTTCTTTCAGGACCAAATGTTTGAATTCAGCCTCTCAGTACCACATGCTATTGATGACAGGGGCAAACAAGGACACATCCCCAGCAGATAACAGAAGCAGATACGTTTTAGTTGCTAGAATACGCTTTAGTTGCGGATACACTTTAGTTGCTTCTGACCTGCAGCCTGACTTTGAGTCAGAGCCATTTGTCCCTCTGTCCCACGTTTTGTTCATCAGTAAAATGGCAATAAACCCATTTTCCTCAATGTTTCAAAATTCAACTATTTTTATCTTGCTGGCTTGATGAGTTGCACCAAGTGGGCCAAAAGGATACGAAACACTTCCAAATCAGAATGGTACAACTAACTCCATAAAATGGTAGCAAGTAAAGTTCTACTAAAGCAAGCCCAGCTTGCCCGGCACAGGGGCTTGTAGGGCATTCCTTGTTCTTACAGGAAACTGCACTAGTGGGTTCTTTCAAGTTGGCTCTCTGCTTGTTTTAAGGGGCATCCTGTAAACAAATGAGATGTGAAAGGCAAGGTAAACAAGAAGCTTGTGTGCTCACCACCTGCTTAGCCAAAACTGTCAAGATTTCAGGACTATTTTAACTGAAGGAGGACAGAGTCAACTTTACAAGAACAACAAAGTAACAAAACCCTTCAGAAAACACTTTTACAATCTCTCTTTACAGCCCTTCAAATCCTTTTCATTTGGCTGCAAGCCAAGGTCAATGTTGCAAGCCAGAACATGTCAGTAATTAGTTTTCCTACAAGGCTCAAGGGAAGCAGGCTCTCTATTAATCCTCTTGAACCAATGACTCCCATAGCATCCCTAGAGCTGGCATATTTCTGCCATTCACACCACCTACAGCAGCTATACTGCCCCTTTTCAGAAGCACAGTCAATTCTGATCAAATGAAGGGCAAAGTAGAAAACCTCCTATTTATCCCATGCTCCAAAGCTTTATGCCAGTGTCATTTCTCTCTCTCTAACAGAATTAAGTGATCAGCTGTTTTATTGTCTTCCTGTGTTGTCCGAGGTAACATATTTTGTTAAGTGCAGTCATTCTTTAAATTTGTTTTGGTTAAATTCCAGTTCATCTCACTAAGGTACTCCATAAATCCTCTTTGCAAACTGGACTGGGGAAGACATCCATCCCTTTCACAGTTACAAAGGGATGCAATTACAGTCTCATATCAGGAGCACCTACATTTCAGGGGCAGATGAAGTGATTCTGACACAGTGACCAGAGTATTTGCATGTGAAGTATCTGCAAGCCGTTTGGAATCCCACAGGGCAAGAGAAACATTAGTGACACTGCATTAAAAAAAACGGCAATTTGATGTTCCTAGAAGGAAACCAACTTCATGAACTTGAGAAAAAGGCTGTGGCTAAGATGGTGATATAACACAGGCTGTTTTAAGTGACTAACGATGCATAACTTGAAAAATTAGATTCTTCTGAGCTGAGGACTCAAAAGGAGACATTTATAATCTCTGAAAATGTGTGAATTTTTTTTCCCTTCTTTTTCAGGACCAGATTACTGTGCTATTTTATGTTGATCATGTTTTTGAAACTTTTTAATCATTGTGCTCGTTTGTTTTCAATATATCTTCCCACCCCTATACAGAGTTTGCCTAACCAAGGACAACACAACTCCCACTTGAAAAGAAGGGACTGCACTTGATAGCCTTCTCTTGATGCAAAAAACTTTTTATTCTTTTGTGGTTTCAGGGAGTGAACCAGTAAAATGATTAGACTAGTTTCAAGTAGCACCACCCTAGAAGCAGCTTGGAAAATTCCACTGGTGTCTCTTTCTCAAAAGCTGTTTTCCAAAAAAATGTCAGCTCTCATTTCCTTACCTCCACAGAATTCCTCGGGTTGCTATTCTCATAGGGTTTGCTTTTGGGCGGAGGTGGGGGTGGGGTGCTCTGTAAGCCATCAGCTTGCAATGAGGGAAAACCTAGAAGCAACAACAATAATAAGAAAAGTCATTAAAGTAGGTGGAAAAGGAATGGGAAATGGGATGGACCATGTAGAATTTTAAGGGAGAATCATTTAATATCTTGTGCTTTCGATCTGCTAACAGTTCTCCGCTTTAGCAGCTAAACCTGAATGGTTATGTCAAAGTAGAGTCACAGTCGTATCTCCCTTAAGTTCAAAATGCTCAGAAGAGTTCTATCTTCATCAAATGAATCTAAGTTCATGTGAAAAATGCATGCCTGAGAGAACAGAAAACTGAATCCATTATCACATCTGCAATGTTCAGTGGGGTTTCCTTTCACTCTGGGCCTCAACCTGAGAATTCACTTTGATTTTAACTCCAGTTGATGAGTAGATAAGTACCCAAACTTCAGAAGAATTCCTAGGAAGCTGTCCTGCTACTAAAGGCAATTAAAACCACTTGCTAAGTAGAAGAGTGAGGTTTCACATTCCTTTCACAGATCTCTCTTCATATAGTATTCCTGCATTTGTTTGTGTTTCTGGTTGTCTCCCCACCCCGTTCCCCACCCTGATATGTATTTTTTGGTTTTAATCCTCTCACAACAGTTTTATGCTAGTTTAGTTCATTATCTACAGTGGATTCTGAATTTATATCCATATAAGAGAAAGGACAGTCAGGTCCTACATATGAACTTCTGTTCCTTTAAAAAAAGAGCAGTAGAGTGAGAAATGCAACAGCAAGCAAGGAAGTTGTCAGTGGTGACACTACAGTTGTATTTTTACCTTAGCCATATTTATATGCCGCTTCAGAATTAACTACAGAGCTTACTGGATATGCAAGGAAGGTAACTGCGCAAATTATTCATTTTGCTAATTCTTCAAGATAAATTCCTTCTCTTGCAGATGTAACATTTATTAGCTGAGTTTCCAAACCACAGAGCAACTTCTCCTAAAACTTTTTGCCATGCAATAGGAGTTATCGTTCATTAATTAACAAAGCCTTCAGGGCTTGCCCAGAAAATTTAGCCATAGACCTGATCAGAAATACTATGCTGAATTGATGCAGTTCCATCCAGTGAATTCACAGGATAAATTCCTCTAGTATGTGCTCTAACCACCTGACTTGATGCTTTTACAAGCATCTACATTGACTGCATATGATGTTCACCTCGAGGTTTAATATACCTTCCCACAAGTCAATACAGGAGAAAGCAAGAAAGAAACTGAAAAGATAAAAATTGTTCTCTGGAATTCATCTGATATGCTAATTTTAACAAGTGATATGTAAGTCACAAGTATGATCGTAATGCCTTTGGTAACACTGCCAAATTCTGTTATCTGACAAAAATGTCTACAAACATTAACAGCCCAGTCACTTTCTGTGAACTACTTCAGAGCAGTTCCTCCTTCCCTCTCTCCCTCCCCAGTGAGGTTAGCTCAGCAAATATATAGTAATTCCTACTACTGCAGATACTGTCCTGAAGGATGTGACAATTGCTCTATAATAGAACTTACTTTGGGTTCTTGGGGTTTTGGGAGTGATGGGTGGTGGGCTGCAAGGTGTTGATTGCTGGATTGAAGAACCCTGAAGCAAAGTCAGTCTGTTGTCTCCTAATTGAAGACTCTTTGGCCTTTGTGCTTTTCCTGACATGCCCTGGTTGAAAGAGAGAGTAAACAAAACCTTTAGAAGTCAGCAAGGTTGCTGCACACGTATCAGATAATCAGACCTGTCACAAAGGCATCAACATGCTCCAGAAGAGCCATGCATAAGGGAGAAAGGTGCATTCAGGTAAAACATAAGAGTGAAACCACTGCCCTGGCCGAGCCATGTCAAAAGGCATACACTGTGCTCCTATGACACATGCAGTTTTCTGTGGGACCTTACTAACTGCGTAGCAACAGTAAACTGTTTTTAACGACCGTAGTGTATTAACTAAGAAGGGAAGACGTCAAGCTGAAAAATTGCTGTATTTGACTAGCAGTTCTGCGAACAAATTTTGGGGAAAAAAAAAAAGTCTTTCCAAGAAGAAAAAAAAAAAGATGAAATTCTGGGTGCAAGTCAGGACTGCTAGTGTCATGCAGCTCCTTAGGGTTGTGAAACAAGTCTTTTTCAGGCTTTACAGAGCAAATCCCTTGCATTTGGGACGCAGATGATGTTGTTCCAGTTCCTTCCAGGGTCACGCGTGTCCTCTGTCTCTTCACTCAAATCGTGAGGCCATCTGAATACGGTCCCAAGAGTCCAGTGCATGAATATTACAGTCCTTTTAAATATTAGTTTATTGCTTTACAGAGAAGGCTTTCACTTACACATATAAAATTAAACTCACTGGGCTCTTTTAGAGATCATTGTCCATCATTGAGCAGTTCAGTATTTCTCACTGCGCAGAAGGGACCACACATTGGTGTGCAGTGAATATAAAACTTACAAAGACCAAAGCTGCTGGACATACAGCAAGCCTTTGGTTCCCTCTGGCTTTCTAGCTCCCAAGCAGCTTAGTCAAGAGCTGCATAAAAATCAGTCTGTCCAATTCTTGGGCTGCACTATGCAGCTTTGGAACAGACCAGCTATAAAAACCAGCATTCTCTGTACTTTGCAATGTTCTTAAGCATGAATATAACCCTTCACCGCTCATTCACTTCAGTAAGCTGATCGCACATATAAATTTGCCCTCAGAGATATGGGGGGAGAGGGGAGGGTGGGTGTTCTGTTTTGCATTTCTCAGCTCTCTGCAATGCAAAGTCTTGGACAGACATGCCTTACTGTCCTAGCGAACTCGTCAATACAAACGGGCTTTCTCCCAGATCTTTTCCCTCCAGTTTTACTTAATAAAGTGATCAGCAGCTGACATCACAGTTTGTGGGTTAAACCCATTTAATTCTTCCAGAGGCAGAGGGCCAGGCCTCTTGAACCACTAATATTTACGACCCCAGGTTTTCCTCGAGTGGAAAGCCTGTCAATACCAAATGACATGATTCTAGAACCACAGTTCCCCTTTTTATAAATATTCTGCACACTCCAAGTGCTGGCAGCGTCACTCAGATTTGATGAGAATTCCTGAATATATAGCAGCATAACCCGTTCCTGCCAGATTCAGTTGAGATCTTGGGAGGGAGAGGGAAATAGAAGAACTCATGCTTTCTCATTATTTACGCAGTCTGTGTTAAGTCAAATTAGTATCGCTGAGCCACCAGCTTAAATACTCAGCTGCCTAATTCTCGCATACTCTCTGACCAGTGTAACATAGTCTTAGCATAAATCAGAATAATACTCCAAGGTCATACAACTCTACTTTTAGGCTGAAACTTAACCGTTTGTATTAGGTGATCATTCTGAATTCCTCTGTCAACCTGAATGCCTAACAGTCTCCAATATATTCCTCAAGACAACACTCCTGTGGGGGTACAGATTCTCTTTTATTCCTCTTTCGCAAATAATTTGCTCAAGGAGTAAACACTCCTGCCCTCACGCAGGCAGTCTGGACCAGAGTACAGACTGGAAGAACCAGTTTTTCAGAGTCCCAAGCTGGTGACCTAACTACCAGACCATCTTTTTTCAACTCCTCAATCTATCAAACTGATCTTCACCTTGCAGTACGTTTGATTTGTGCTGTGATGCTGACCGATAGCAGCTGAACATCTGGCTTGCCAGCTGGATTTGAGTGGGCTAGCAGTATCTGCTTGCTCCGACAAAACCAGAACAATGCTACATTGTGCTGAGTGCATCACACAGTCCTCCACTCCTACAAGAAATGAGGGCACTGAGCACCTAGAAGAAACATCAGTGCCTCGTACTTCCAGTTTGTACCTTAAGCCAAACTGCAGTTCAGTCTGTGACACAAGTTTTCCAAATAAAAAAGTAAGAATTACTCAGATGACCAAGGCTTTTGGTATTTGAACCCCTCCCACTATTTAATGAAGTTCCCAATGACAAGCATGGCTGAAAGCAACGGAAACACTAAAATCTCCTGCTGTGGATTTTATTATTGCTATTATTATTTTATTTTTTTACCATTTTGGAAGTCAGTTCCATTTCTGGCTCCTTCTCTACAATAACCTGAGACTTGCTAATACTCCAGTCCTTCCGCTTGAGTTTGCTAATCCGGTTATCACCATCATCTTTCATGGGCAGTTCCTCGGCTCTGGAAGCTGTTGATATTCTTCTCTCCAAGAGAGGCTCCAGAATAGATCTGTGGCCCACACCGAAAGAGTGAAAAAACATGAAACATTAGTCTGTCAGACATTTAAAGTGCCATCTGTTAAAAAGCTATGATCTCTTAGTCTGCGTAAGAGATTAACGTGAAAAACTGAGTTATGACCATGGAATTTTCAGTAAGATTTGCGCTCCTAAGTTACCCTAGCGATTTTGAGTATAATGCCTTACGTACAAGATAAACTGTGATCTACTTGCAGAAGGAGCCAGAGCTGCATTTTATGCTGAACCCTGCCACCGAGTCTGCTGTGTGACCTTGAGCAAGTCACCTAAACTCCCTGGCTACCACAGATGCAAACTAGATGTACAGAGAAGTAACATCAGGAAATGTTTCCATGTGTGGCAGCTCCTTTTAATGCCATGTATGCAGCTGCAAACAGGTAGGCAGAATAAGTACCATATGACTATGCACCTCTTTGCAGACCACATCAACCTAAATTACCTTGTAGTATCTTACACCTCTGTTTTCCAGCATTCCTAGGAAACAGAAATAGCATGCATCTGAAATACACTGCCTCCATCCCTCTTCAGTATCATGTAGATAATTGGGACTCCAGAGACAGACAGTCGTGGGTTCGATTCCCAGAACTATCCCTACCTGTGCTGCAAACACCCTATCTGTAAAATGGAATAACAACATTGGCCTCCATTTAAAGTTTTAAACGTCTAGGTATTACTATTGTGTATGGAATAAATCTTCATTTTAAGAGTAACTAATTCCAGCAAAGGCATATCCCCACTCTTGTAAATCACACATAAAGGCTGATTACTAACCCGTCTGAACCTGGTCTGGAGGAAGTGCTATCAGATGACGTGGAAGATGTAGAGACCACAGAAGACGCCACAGATGTGACAGAGAGCCGTCTCAGTGTGGAAGACATGATATAGGGCAACACGACAGAGCCTGACCTGCTCTGTTTCCTTTCGGTGAGGGAGGGAGGCTGCAGACAAATACGCTTGTGATAAATCATGTAACACTAACTCACTCACAAGTGGGAAAGGGGAAAGTTGTGTTTCTTTAAGGCAAAACACTAAACAACCAGGTACGCTTACCAGAGTTATTACACCGTACTGCTTCTCCACCTTCTTCTTCAGCTCTTTGAAACAGGCTGTCAGTCTGTCATGTAGAGGCTTCAGCTGTTCCGTCAGCTTCTCACCATGGATCCTAATCCCTTCTGCCAACAACGGCATCTGAAAGGAGGAACAAAATTAAGCTACAAAAGGACAAATCAGCTCTCCTGTTCCAGAAAGGAATTTTCTATGCATGTTACACATTTCAGATACAATCAAAGGACTTAAATCAACTTGTTTTGAGTTTGCAGATGCAAAAAAAAGCAATCATACAGTAACGAAGCTCTGCTGACTCAAAACTTGTGACACTGTACTAACTTGATTGTTTGTTTGAGCTCCATGTGTTCAAGAAACATGAACACTTTCCCCATCTATACCTATGATTCCCTTTTCCCTACTCAGATTCCATATTCTGCTTTGTAAAACACAGCATGTGAAATGATGGAGTATCACTTCTTAGCCCCCAAAGCTATATGATTGTGAGGTAGCTTTAACTGGGCTCTGTTGTGTGGAAATATGTAAAAACTGGTCTGCAGGGATGCAATTTGCATTACTAAAAAACTAGGGCAATTTTTCATTGCCATGCAGGTCAAAACAGACAACTTTCAATGGTCAGACTGACAAAACATTAGGTCTGATGATTAATGAAAAGGTAACAGATATTTTGTTACACTCATGAGGGAAAAAATCCACGCCATGTTGGTAAATATTCCAGAATCACATTTCAGAGCAACACAAGGTACATGGAACAGCCTAGGCCACAATTTTAGAATATGACAGTTTCCTCAAAATAAAAAACAACTGTACACACATCCAGATTGTTCTTATAGTTTTTATCTGCATTATCTCTCCAAAACAATGATGATGGAAAAACATCTACACTCATACATAATGCTTCCACTTCTTTCCCCATACAATACCTGTAGAGCAATTAGTTGCTTAAGCAGTTCAATTTTATCTTGATCTTCAGGATGTTCTTGAAGATACTTCTCTGTGAAAAAGGCCTGAAAGCAAAGAGAAGATGATACAGACACCACATTGCTTTCACAGCTAACAAGTGAAAGATCCTTGTACTTTAAAAGCAATTAATTGGCATTATTCCTCGTAGCAAAGTTTGGTTTTAGTACCACCGTGACACAAAGCTGAAGGACAAAGAACCATTTGCTGAGAACTGGGAAGAAAAGAGACTTTTTTTGTAAAAAACAAACCAACAAATCTTACTATTTTTTCAGTGAAACACTGATATGTAAAAAAAGTTACTTCATCACAAGGATTTTCTTCAATTCCAATTGCCTTCTCATAAAATAGTATTGTTTTGAGTAATCAAGGCTACATTACTTGTCACTCAAATGCGAGTAGCAGATCCTGTCTCTGAGTTCTCACTTCAAGAAGTCTCATTTTTAGCATTCAACGACCTACAGTACACAACGACATGCAAACAACCTCCGCTGCAGAAAGGTGAACGGGGCATCTCCTGCCTGCAATTTCCTTAAGCTCTATGACTTAAGCCCTTAAGTACAACATTTTCACATGGGGCTCGTTACAAAGATTCAAGTAGAAATAAAGACCATGTTGAGAGTTTGACTCAGTTTTGATTCAACAAAGCACCTTTAGTCTACACTTCTTATGTGTTTACCTTTAATCAACAGAATCTGGTATCAGTTTAAAGTTGAACAAACACAAGTACACTTTCTTGGACTGAAGCCTTAAACTTGTGCCAATTCACACTATGTGCTACAGTGTATTATTACATTGAAATGTATCACAATTCCTGGTCAGAAGAATTTAATTTTTTTTTTCCTAGATAAAATCCCTAATAATTTTTCCATTTGCTTTTAAAACACGTCTCTGATCTATTTCAGCCTCTGCATGTATTTCTTAGTTCTGTGTTCCATTAACTGAACTGTATGTACAAGTGTTTATAGGCCTAGTGGTATGACTCTGAAAAAGGCTGATGTCAAGAGGAGGTTAGCCTGTGAAAGGACTGCTGGGTAGGTCCCAGTGGATTTTTCTCGAAAGTGTTTAATTATTGCAAGAAGAAAGCGCATGTTAAAAATGCAGACTTTGGCTTTTGGCTACAATGAAACAATTAAAACTCAAGATTTTAGCCGCCCACAAAAGCCAAATGTTCTGTACTGATCTTCAGCTGAAATAGGAAAATATGAACCAGAAATGAGTATTTCCAGATGTGGTTACAGATACTTTGTGTTTCCTAGTTTTAACTGCTTTCCCACTTTCGTAATTCTAAACTTCATGTCAACCTTAATTCATAAAATGGGAGGATTTAGGGCCAAATTCAGCCCTGGCAAAGTATGCGACTCCTCTGGAATCAGCAGAGTTAGACCCCAGATAAATCAGACCCTCTCCCATTTAACTTTTGCACTTCATTTCACATGACTGGAACACATCTGAGAAGAATTAAATGTGTTTTAACACCATCCATGCAGTTTATGGAAATAAGCAATATATTCTGTGCTGGGAACACCATCATTAGATACTGGGAATAAACAGCTTAAGTTAAACATCACAACAAAGGAAGAACATACACTGTTCAACTGAAGTCAACTGAATAAACCTTGATAGGAAACACTGTTTTTTTTCCTGAAAGATATGCTCTTTGCTGCAAGACTACAGACAGATTATCTGCTGGAAAGAGAAATCCTCATTTGCCTTACCATTCTATATTAATACAATGGAGAAATGTTAGCTCTTTTGCTTTTCTTTGTTACTTGCACCCGTCATTGGGCTGATCAAGCAGCTCAATGCCCCCACGAGGTACGACCATGTTATTATCACCACTGTAAATGAGGCCCGATGAGTTGGATCACTCATCTCTGTGGCAATGCACAGCACCAAAACTAAACACTAAAACGCTAAAGATGTGGGAGTTTTCCACGTTCCAGTCTAGTGGAAATCTCTTATCTTTGTTCTTTTCTCCTCCTCTTTGAGCTCTTAACGGACAGACACAGCTACAGAATGCACTATATCTGAGTAACAGCTGAAAACTGAACTTGAATTTCCCATGTTTCAATTCAGGTCTTCAACATTGCAGAGGTCAATAGACTGAGCCACAGATAAACGTGAAAAAGACCTTTTCATAGTTGGTATATCCCCCCATGACTGCTGGGTCCACAATCCCATTCAGGAGCATAGAGAGAGGATGTACAGGAAGACTCCGGTCCCAGACATGCTGTTGGACAATGTTGCTGATTTTCTCATTGGTTAGCTCCATCGTTTCTATGGCGTTCTCCAAGGGGCTGATCTCTTCCTGACGGAAAAAGAAACAGAATTCACCTCCACTTCATTCACCTCCACTGAATATGAAGTTAAGTAACTCCTCGTATATGAACAGCAGCTCAATAGTTTCCAGCAGAGGATTTTGGACCCCCTGTGCTAACTATCTTGCCATTCAGAGATGAATACAAGAACGATCTTATACATTAACCTGAAGGAACAACAGTTTAGGACTTGGCTGCTGACTGTGGAGCATGTTACAGAAGTAACCGCTCTCCCAAGCATTACACAGTCAATGTAGAACGTTGCTGCCTTGGGTAGAGCTGTTTGCAGAATGGCATAAAAAGACAAGCACATCAAAGAAGATACACATTTGCTTTTATCTGAAGCAGAAGTTATTGGTGTGCCACATCCAACAGTGGAAGGACTAGTAGTCCTAACTGTCGCAAGACTCTTTAATCTACCAAAGATTGGAGGGGATGAGACCCAGCTCATATGCAGAACCCACCGTTGTAATCTGTTTGACTTCAAACCACTTGAGGATGCCTGGAAATGAATACGCTGTCGTGTAGGTTGTCCTTTCTATCCACATATTCTAGTTAGAGAAGGAAAAAATTCCAAGATGTAAGGAAAATACTGGTCTTGCAATTCAATTCTCTTCTGTGGTAGAGCACGGAACCAGGCTTTAAGCACTAGCTGGCACGACTTACACAATGACTTTCACCTTCACTAACTGGGACAGAAACCAGTGTTTTTGGCAACAAATACCATGTCTACTATTTAAATGGTATCAACATTAGCGGCAGTAGGCTGTTATCCTTCATGTGGACCACTATTAGCAGGACTGCAATTATGGCATATTTAGCCAGTTATATGCAACTTGCTCAACCACTACACATGAGCAACAGTATGTCTCACAGGCAGCAAGGAAACATGCTGTAACACTACATCCAAGGCTCACTCTCCACTGCAAATCTTAAAAGTTGGCCTGAAGTTGAACTGATCCTTCATGGTTAGAGGCTGGCCTCCTTAAGGATAGCTACATCATCCACAGTCTACCAGACACACAGCTGCACTCTGTAGGAAGCTGCGGTTAGACAGCACAATATTCATGGATTCTAGATCAAGGATTTTGAGCATTACAACTTCAGCTACAGAGCCCCTTGACATTATCACATTTGGCTATACGTAAAGGTTGCAATGCGAAGAATTTGCTTCTCCTACATTTTAATAGCAAAACTCCATTGCCACAGGTGGAGAAAAAAAATTGTAACAGTGCTGTTCAAAATGCCAGCAACAAAATAAATAAATGCATAGAACCATTTTCTCATAGCACAGACACCCAAGCCAGCTGGCATCAAAAGAAAAGGACTCACAGCAAACTCGTTGTCTGGGTCTTTTTCTCCTTTCCTGACTGGTCGGGAGTGCGTGAACTGCTGTACCTCGTTTGCTCTATAGTAGCTAGAAAGAAGCAGAGTAAATGGTGAGTTTTATCACCTCCCATCCTCCTTACAGAAACATTCTTCTGTTTCCTCTCAAAACCAACCACATTTAAACTGGACTGTGAAACAAATTTACACGAGACACAAAGGCACTCCACCTTGTGCCTAGGCTAGTTGAGAAAAATATAGAGGAAATGTTGAGGGAAAAGGAAAAGAAATTACTTTAAGATCTGTTCAGGAACAGGTTTATCTTTATAATTAAGTGGCAGGTTCATCACAGGCTTTACAATAAAGCACTGCACATCTGAGCAGCTATAGTTAAGGATGAAAAACTATGAATCCTTCTGGGAAAACAGGAGAGGGAGAGGAATACCCTTCCCGTTCTCATCAAATGTCAGACTTCTCAACAATTCCCTGTGCTCTTGTCATGTTTGAAGAAAAATACTTAGTAGTTCATCAACCATCACAGGCATTATATTGTTTCTTGTAGTTTGTATGCTACTCATGAACTAAAAGCCCAAAAAGATAAGGGCTGTACTAATTACTTCCAACTATTGAAATTCCCTGCTGAAATGCTTGGGAAGCCTGGGTGCTACCGATTTCTACTTTGGGGACAGGAAAACAAGATTCTGCACTAGGTTCTGTAATGGATGCATCTGTCTCTTCTCTCCCCCCCACTGCCCCATGGTTATTTGTCAGATTCTTCCAGTACAGTGAAGCTGCCGCTCCCTCCCAATTTTTAAAGCAATAAAGCTAACTGAAGAAAGTAGGCTGGTTTTAGTCAGTGAATATCTACTTCATCTTCAGCTTGTGCACCTGTGAACCATGACAGAAATTAAAAAGTTAGTAATAGTATCCCCAAGCACAACAGCTTACAATGTTGTTCCTCCAGAGTTCTAAGGACTGTATTGAAGGCTTTACCGAAGTAAAAACCTGTATGGAAAAGGAAAGTATAAACAATGATTCTATGAATTGGACCCACATTAATAAGTTATTTCTGTGAATCACCTGCCAATTGCACTCTGAAGAGGCAATGTTTTACTGGTGGGTAGGGTAGCCCCATACATCCTTTTATTTCACTGAGGGTAGTTCTAAACAGTATTTGGAAAGCAAAGGCAAGGTTATTCCGCCCGCACTGAAGAGCCAGATGGATACTAGCCAAATCTGAACCCAAAACCGCATAGCCACATTAGATCAAGCACTGAGCCCAAGCTAATATATTCTCTCTCTCAGGAGAGCTTATTAGCTTGGGCTTCATGCCATGCTAAGTATGCTATACAGCTTCTAGTTCAGAACTGGTGGAAGACTAGCCTGTTTAACCGTGTAGGCATTCCCTGAGACTGTGTACAGCTCACTTAATATCTCCAGCACATTATTATGAAACAACCAAAGGAAGAACAAGGCATTTTATCATAAAAGAGTGAGGAAGCAGATTCTAAGCAAAAGTAAAAAAGAGCCTGAGACAAAGGAGGTTAAAAAAGCATGAAATTAAAACAGACTACAGAACCATCAACCCCTGCCTAACACAACAGTGATTTGGGCACTCAAACTCCTCATCTTTTCAGAAGGTGTTTGTAAGAGTCCGAGAAGAACCTGTACCAAATCCAAGCTATGCAGCTGCTCCCCTTTACAATGGGGCTATGCCAAAGACCCGGAACCAAACACCCCCAAACTTTTGGAAGAGTTCAGATCTGTATCCAAATTTTGCAGTTCAGGTTCATCTTGAGCCAAAAACATTAGAACAAACACAAACAGATGCAAAGGAAGTAGCTGAAACAAAGCAGCAATAGAGGAGGCATTTTTTGATACCAAGTTTGGTCTTGAATGAATTTTAATTTCCTATGTGGATTTAGTGCTTGGCAGGCTTATTGCAAAGGAAGCATCTGGTATCACTGCTTGAGTTGTGCCTTTGTACACAGACTTTTAAAGCCAAAAATGGACCATCAGATTCTCTAGTCTGGCCTGTATAACACAGGCCAGAAGCCCAGTAACTTGGTTTTTACTGATGTACATCTTCCAGGAGCACATCTGCTATTGACTGGAAGTCACAAACAAGAATCTGAAGCATCTTCACTAGGCTGCACTTAGTCATGCTCACAATTAAAAGAGGATCTTAAGCATAGTGGTGTGCTGTGTCACACAGTTTGGAGTTCCACCAGCATAAAGAATAAATAAATTTCAACAACTTTCATCATCACTTCACGCTTCTTACAAAGTGACTTCTAGGGGAAAAAACCAAAAGCCAGCCACTTCATAAATGCTAGTTAACTGCAAGCAAGAAGAGAGCATACTTCCACTTTCTTTATATCCCACTTTCACTGCCTATATTTTACCTCTTTCACCTAGAAATACCAAACTGGATCACATATATACTACAGCAGCCAGCACCACCTGCCTGAGAAGAAGGCATAAGAAATCCCGACCTGCAATCTGTTAAGGTTTCATCCTAACAGCAACTCGTTTAACTCTGACAATATCAAGCTGTCTCTCTTATTCAACATGTTTAAGTTCACTATTGCAATTCTGGATAGTCTTATTTTCATGCCCAGTGTCTGCCTTCAAAGTCCCCCTGGAGTAATAAGTTCCTTCCTTATTATTGTTGTTTATGAATTATCTTATTCTAGGAAAGAGACAGATCTTGAATGTGCCAAAACGTATTAGAACCAAAAGATACACTGTTTAGGAGAAGACTTGATCTCTTCTCCTGGAGGGGCAGTGCTGGTCATCTTCTCAGCACTAGGAAACTGGGTCAATAGCTTCAGGTTGAAGTCCTCCCTTCGTTCATACTCTTTGCCACGGTAGATAAAAATTTTATTCTGTGGGTAGCAGAAGAAAAAAAGAATTAACACTAAACAAAGCAATGAGAAAGAGCTTTCCAAACATACACAGAGTAGTCTCAGAGATCTAGTTTATCTGAAGGGTTGTCTCCTAGCTTAACAGACAGTCAGAACACGTGAGAGAAGAAACACAGGCTGGAGTGACAACACAGCAACTCTCAGGAGCAAGGCCCTGCAATGGCATCCTCATATTTATCTAGAAAATTTGTTGTTCCACATACGAGTGTTACTGGACACGTTCATGCTTCCTAGCACTCTAAGAACTCACACATTCAACACATGAAATCTCAGTCAGGGGACTGATTTTAAGTAAGAGAAAATGTGTCCCAAAAAGTTCTTTAATGCAGGGAACTGCATGCTCCCTGCCAGACCACCTATGGTATGAGCTAACTGAGGGATCTCTCTATGCACAAAGACACAAGTTTTACCTCTGTTCCATTCCTGACTCTCTTCAGCTACCATTAACAAAATGGCCAGCTACAGCAGTTTTGTGCTACACACTTAACAGTAGACCATGGCCAATTATTTTTCCAAACTGGCCACCAAGCAGTGGTGGCTTCTGGAAGGGATGCATTCAAAAACATGACCTGGAGGTGAAAGCCTTCTATGCCATCCAGTTCCACAGTCCTAAGTTAACAATTTTCTTTTTTATTAAGCTTGGCTTCCGTTTATGGCCAGCAATTTCAAACAACTCCAGTCTGAAAATGTAAGTGGTCCTTGATTTTAAATAATAGTTGGGAATATTTTATAGTACGCTGCTTCCTGCCCATCTGACTCACTTTGGCTAGATTCTTGTATTACAGCTAGCATAGACCCAGCAGTACTTAGCAGCAATCTCAAACAGGAAGCATCTTTGCATTTTAATTCTTCTGCGTGGGACAGACTCTCACTAATGTGCTTGAGCATTGAAATGATCCATGTCCTGAAAATTAGGTTGATTCAGGCTGAAAAGCAATGGGATAAATTCTTTACAAGCTGAACGTTTTCTAATGGCAACAATCATATTTCTGAGGAAGCGTATAGGGCACAAATACAAAAGGTAGATTCTGTTTAAGTCCTTATAAGAGCATACCAATCATCTAACAAACCCCATTGCAACACACTAACTATTAAAGCTGTTAACACAAAAAAACTGGTCTCTTACTTGTCTCTTTTTATATGCTGAAATGTTCTGAAATACTTAAGGGATTTAGTTCTCTCAGTGTCATTCAAAGGAAAAGGAGTTTGGCATCTGAATTTTCTTGGAAGCTCTGCAAAAGTTATGACTTTTAGGGTCCCCACCACTCCAGAACTTGAGTCCACTCCAGATTGAGTGCTGAAGAATTCTTACCCGGAGGAAAGAGGGGAAACCCTGACCATAGTATCCAACAGCAAAGTACTCTGGTTGAGGTCTCATTGCCTTCATAATATTCTCATAAAAAGTAGCTCGTTTTTTCTGAAAAAGAAAAAGTCACCAGCATTTTCACTTTGGAGTATTCAAGGACACTGCCAGACTGTAGCTCACATTCCCAGTGACAATTCCTGATCTATTAGTTCTCCCCTACAGAATACTTCTTACAATTGTTTTTTTGATACAGTATCTCATACTTATCCATTTACTTGGCTAAATATTTGGTTTGTCTGGGCCAGAATCAACTTCATTTCCTGGTTTGCAGACATGAGAACAATGCCATGTTTTTTAGGATTCCAGGAGGATACCTGAAATCCTTAACTATTGCAACACAAATTAAAAATAAATATGTTCTGAAACTGAGCAGACACAAATGGTGACAAATGTCAGAGAACTGGCAGAACTAAAACTGGGCAGATGATTCTCATATGAAAGAACATAAAGACCATCTGGTTACATCTTTAACCACTAAAAAACATAATTCAGAACCAAGATGATTCTATAGTTCTGTGTTCATACACAGCAGTTTTATCACAGGAATAACAAGGTGATGAGATTTATGGAGCCTGAAGAATACACCATGCAAATGTTACCGTATTCGATTAGCACTAAGAATGCTAAACATCTGCACACGATATTGTCATGCTAATTACAAGGTCAAAACCACACACTTCAAAAGAAATTATGCAAACATTCTTCTAATATTAAGCTTTACAAAACCATGGGGGTTATGTTGGTTTGTTTGTCTTTAACATAAATGTATTTTGGGCTTATCCAGCTCAGCAATATTAATTTAAGCAGTCAACAGCCTGCTGAAAATGGAGGAGAAAAAAAAAGTCTTACCAGGAGATTACCAAGTCCCTCATAATCAAAGACCTTGTTTTCATACATATCAGCCAACTCTTTGCTTAGTTGAATGGCTTTTTCCCACATCTCCATGGAGGGTGAAGGGAGGCAGGTGGGGGAAGAAGAGCACAAGCAAAATAAAAGACTCAGTTAAAAGCATTCATTACCACAGATAGGTAAACAAGAAATTCAGCTGATTTTAATTCAGGCAATACTTTAATGCACTGCCAACTTTCCCTTAGACTCCATGCTGTACATTTTTTGCAATAATTACTATAGTCACACAGGCTCTTTTGATTTGTAGATCTGAAAGTGATTTACAAAGCAAGGTTTCTATTGTTACTCCTGATAGAGAAAACTGAGCCACAAAGAGGTGGAAGGACATGTCTAAGCAGCAAACAAGAGAAGCCCAAGTGGTCTCCTCCTACACTAATACTTCATCCCCTGCATCAGGCTTCCTTGGGTTTGTCTCATTTAGCCCTGGTAGAACCGTCTATCCAAAGTGCAACGAACACAAGTTCAGCATCAGCCAGACAAGCCATACTTACTGCAATACAAAAACCTGACAAAAGCCATTACCCAGAAAAAGAAAGGAAAACACCTTTAGTTTTCTCATCTACCCAGTATCTTGAACAGGGTTAGTTTTTCAGATGCTCTTTGACTAACAAGGAAATAGAAGGATTCAAATATCACCAGGACAAATACATACCCTGCTCATGCCAGTACTGTGGTTTCTATTAAAAAGCCAGGCCTAAGCATCAAAGGCCTATTATGGAATCACGTCTGCTTTTAAGAGAAGTTGTTTTAACAACTTCTGCCAGCTACATTCACCAAGCCAAGTATTTACCAGTGAACTGTAGGAATGCTGCAGAGACACTCACTTTGCCCCTGTCAAAGAAGGAGATAATTTCTTGGTAGAGCTTTTCCTTGAGTTCCTGTTGTGAATAGACGTAGTAGCTGTCCCTCTGCAGGAGATGAGGGACACATGGCTTCTCGGACCACTAGTACAGAGGAAAAAAAGGCAAAGTTGAAAGAACTGGAACGTTTTCAGATTAACAAATCCCTACAATGGATAGACTTGCCTTCTGCAGGGATACATTCAAGACAAATCCATTATCAATGCAAAGGGAGAGTGATATACGCTGAGCTGGCTGACTAACGTAAACCAGGAATGCACACACAAACACTGCATCTCAGCAGCATGGTTAGAATAACAAGTAGCCAGTATGCAGTAACTTCTTAAACCACTCCAGCCAGCTGCTCAGAAAAACATCTGATTATGCTCTCTCACTACACATATAAGCAGCCAGAAAGCTTCAGGTTTTTTCCTACATTAAAAGTTCATTTCAAATCAGTTTAAGGCTTCTTCTGAACTTGTACAGTTTTTTTAGTCATATTTAAAAATCACTTTAAAATGTTAATACAAGTTTAATTATATCTGCAAAACTGGTGTGATTTTTTGCTTAAGGTCTTATGTTGAGACACTAAGTGAATGTGTATGCTTTATTAATCTGTGGAAGAAATGAAGAGGTTGACTTAAATCCAAATTAAGATGGCTTAGGCTAATGCATTTTACACTGTTCATGCAGAAGTGAAAAAAACTGTACTATGACCCTGAACATGGACATTTTCTCCCAGCTCACTATAGCACTCTGTTTCACCAAGAGTGTGTAACAAATTGATGCTAATTACATTTTTGCTTTCATCCATTTAGCTGCTGTGCAATTTGCAAAATTGTGAAGCTCATTAATGACCACTAGAACCTAGGTAATGCAAAGTCACATTAAAAAAAAGAGAAAAAAAGTGAATTGCTTATTCTGAGCTGTTTGCACTTCATTTAAAACCATACCCTGACAGTGCAAACTAAAATTGGCTTTAGTGTAATACCTGGAGCAGTTCTGCATGGAGGAGGAGAGTGTATGCGGCCTCTGTGAAGTTCTCACAGTCTGTGTGCAGGTCCCGGAGTTTATATAGATACCTAAACAAACGAAAAGCAACTGTTACTTGATGTGAAGGACTCCTGTATCAGTGTACAGAACACCAAGAGAAATAAAGGCTTCTATAAAGGTTTATGGAGGGAAGCAGCCTACCTGATATAAATGTCCTCTCGTTTCTTCTCCTTATAAAAATTCTGCCAAGAATAGAAAAAAAGTCAATCTTTTACAATGTAAAGCACCATGGATTTGCATAATCATCTCTAGACAAGTAACTTAAGCATCAGTTTTAGATATTTCAAAGATCTTTGCTGTCATTTTGCCTACTTAGGTGCATATATCCCTGCAACCATCCCTTTAACATAAGGTGGGGCTACCATCACCTCTAGAAAAGGGGTAAGTCAAAGAGAGAAAGTGATGGTTTCCCAAACCATCAGCTAGCCATCTTTCCTGCCTGTATTTCAGAGCTTCAGATTACAACATAGACAAGGACCAGCCACGTGAGTTGATTTTGGACTGTACATCTTTCTACATTTTATAGCTGCCAATGGCTGGTAGCCTGATTTAGGCCCATCATTAACCAGAAATGGCATAAAGAATTACTTAAAATCCTACAGAAAAAAAATCCTTCAGAAACCACGGAAGCCAGGTCAGTAAAAGAGCACCCGTATCCAAATCCAGCCTTCCCCATACCAGCACATTGACAGTGCAGCTCATGCGGTTCTCCTTGCTTTCATCATGCATGATTGTCCTGTAGTCCAGCAGGTTCTCTAGCAGGCTGCTGACCAGCAAAGCAAACACTTCTCCAGAAGTAGACAGATATTTATGCTTCCGACAGTGCTCCAGGAGGCTGCAGATACACCCAGAGAGACGGAAGGGAATACTCAGTTATGGTTCTGAGCGGTGGTAAGTAGAACTTCAGTGTAAATTACCCAAACAGCCACTCAGCTAACAGAGTCAAATACGTTTCCTGAACAGAGACTCTCAGTGCAGAACAGCACAGCACACCCACAGACCTGAGACACCCAAGTCAGACAGGTCAAAGCCTGCCTTGTTGATCAAAAACCTGGGTTCTACTCTTGGTGCTAAAAGAAGGTTCTGATTTTGCTTTAACTGTGAGCCTGCTGTTCTCAAGCTTTTCCCCTTACAAACCCCTTGCCAGTTTGGCACCTGCCTCTAGGCTTTCATCTACAAGTTTAGTTTAGGGTAGTTGTGCAAGTTGCTGCTCCAGAATAAAAGCATCATTTTAAGGCAATCAGTCTCAGAACACCCGTATAGCATTAAGATCACTGTCAACTGCACTGTCTCCCTATTAACTAGAGTAACGAATTAGGGTTTCTTTGCATTAGAAAAATAGCCAACTAAGCTGTAAAAGAGACTCTCCATGTTCTTTATAAAACTTACAGTTTCTCCAGCAAAATCTTGTACTGTTCATCCCCTCGGCCACCCTCCACTTCCTGGTCCAGCTTGGTTATCAACTCATTTTCAAACTGAAAAGGCAAAAACCCACAATCAAATAGACAGCAACTCTCAAGAGTGTGGTCTGAACATTAGTAATGCTTGTGGCTGGTGTTTCTGAACTGCCCCGCCATCAGACACTGGTTTTACAAGCCAAGCTAGGGGATGCTTTCATTGTTGAGCAGAATAAAAATGGTAAGAAGCCAAGATGACAAGATTGGAGTAAGGAAATAGAAGTCCTCCCTCTCTCATCCTACAGTCACTGGAAAGTCATGCTCTGGGGGAACGCCTCCTCTTCTCCTCCATCCATTAGCAGTTCAGTTTTGCTAGGATGAAGAAGCATCTTAGCAGCCAGCTTAGAGATGGTAATTGTCATTCACTCACCCTGAAGAAACTGAACTACTACCATCAGTTAAGGGCAAGTCACAACTCTCTGGCCATCATAAACACTTGTGACTACTAATTAAAGCAACTTCTCATGATGCAAGAACCAAGTCCTGTGTGATTAATCTGTCTCACCATGAAGATGTGCCCTGTTATGTGCAAGCAGATCAAGTACATAGTCTCAGTTATAACTGTAGCTAGTACATAAATACCACCAGAATGGAAGATCCATGCCACACACATCCTGCTTCCTTCTACCGATTCCAAAAACCCCCGAGACCCTGGGGCCAACCACACCAAAGACTGATGACCCCAAGGGAAGAAAGATCCCATATGCACACTGAAGCTGGGGTCTAAGCTGGTGTGAGGATGGTGCTTAGGAAGATGCACGTCACATTTGACAACAGTCTGAAATGCCAAGGTGGCTGCCTTTTGGATGGATGGCTCCTACCCATCCCCAGGGAGAAGACTGTCTACAGCATAACTACAGTGTCCCCTGCCTGCCAGTTGAGATGTTAATGTCTGATAACCCCAGAGGAACAGCTGGAAGAATAAGTCCTTAGAAACTGCAGTGAAAACAACCTCAGGGCAAAAGCAAAGCTCCTCTTTTTCCTTCCTTACTTTCTGGTGCTTTCTCAGTAGCAATAAAAGGTAACTTCTGGAGAAATTAGCACAGGATTGGAACTAGGGATCTGAGTCCTGTTTGCTGCTCTGTCCTTCTACTTGTGTAGCCTCAAGCAAATTGTGTCTGTCCTTTGTATCACTGTTCTCCTTTCCATAATGGTGGCATCAGTATTCACAAATGTGTTGTCGAATTTGAAGTTAATGAGTCGGTATGTAAGCAACTACGTAGTCCTAACACTTCACTGTCCAGCAATTTTCTTTATAGTAACTCACATTTACAGCCAAAGATCTGCCTTGGGAGAATTTATATTATTATTATTATAAATGTAAATAGACATTACTTTTTAGAGTACTCTCTCAGGGTCCCCAAATTGCTTCACAATTTAGATGTGGGTATTCACACATCTGCAAATGCAGAAAGGTATGAAAACAGAGGAATTCATTAATTATCAAAGTCATGCAAAGGTACAGTCAGGGACAGAACTGAAGAGTCCTGACTCCTACAAACCACTTAACAATAACTTCCCAAAGTGTTTGGCACAATGCTTGTTTTGTGCGGGGTTTTTTTTTTTGTTTGTTTTGTTTTTGTTCAAATGTTCTCTTCTCCTTCTTGCCCAATGCTTACTGCGGAACATCTGTACTGAAGATACCAGACTCCCTTACCATATGGAAGTTTCTGTTCCCACTGAAGTTAAACTCGCACTGCATCATATCAAAGAAGATGGGAATGGTAGCTTTCCGTAGCTCAGGCTCTGGGACCAGCGTTACCTCCAGGATTGGGCCTACCATTGCTGGAATGAATTTTATTTTGTGGGGACCTGCAAGAAAGTCAGTCAGATACATCCTAATGGCAGGATTTGGATATCCAAATGTTTAAGCACATTATTAATATAAAATAAAGACCATAAACCACAGACATTCTGCTTAGAATGCATATTTTACGTATATAATGGCTACTTAAAGTAGAAGTAACATGTTACAGCTCCAAAATCCAGGAATAGTCCAAGAAAAAAAATCGAACTAAATTGCATGCAGTGTTGCACATCACAAAGGCTCTCCGAAAATTCTACTCTTGTCCTTCCTATGGTAGAACATCCTTTATGAGGAATCTAAGAAATTACCTCAGCAGCTGACATGAGAAAAGATCAGCCTTTGCAAGCTATTCACAGAAAAAGGAAAAGAGATTTTGTGCTCTGAAACAGCTGAACCTTAAGTGTATTTTCCCCACAATAAACATGAGCAGCTTTTATAAGAAATAAAGGATTTGAAATCCAGCTTGAGAGCTTGAATAAAGATAATTCTTTAGCTGGAACTCACCCAGGTTATACCACATATCCCTTATTTTGAAGCCAATTTCTTTCCTCATGTCCCCATACCTAGAAAAAAAGTATTAGAAAGAAAGAGATGAAAAAGCCCTATGCACTGAAATGACCTTTGCAAAGTTGCTGAAGAAATTTAATAGCAAAACCACAGAAATTTATTACCCTCTCCTTAAAAAAAAACCCACCACACACAAACCTGAATATGCTGGGCATTTATACCAAGGGGTCTCACAAACTATCTTCTGTATTAAGAGTCTACCAAGAAGTTCCTCAATATTACACACATTTTGTTAGATGTTCACCTCGTCTTTTTTCTTCTTTACCCTGCCCCAGCACTATTGCTCAATGCACAGAGGAAGAGAATGGCCATGTGCCATTATGGCAGAAGACTGCAGACTCCCTGAGAGCAGAATAAAGCTGCAGTCCTGCTGCTTCATGCAATGCTACCCAGAATTTTGTTGTATTTGGTGTTTTTTCCCCTAAAGCTTTAACTGCTGACATTGAGAGAATGCGAGAATATTTCATTACCAGGCTTCTTAAAGCCCTCATTACTGCAGAAAAAAGATGGCAAATATTGACTATGTATGCCCTAACAAAATTCTATGTCAAGATCTACAAATATATTTAGGCACTTGATTCCAGCTAAATGCAGAAGTAAAAGCTGTTCAGTGTATTTGTGAATTTGGCCAAGTTACTAAAAATTACTACTTTTGGGTTGATGAATGTGTCTGAACTGCTCTCGCTTTCAAAACAGAAAAAGCAAAGACAGGGGACTAAAAAGTTGCAGGGCTTTTAGGGTTCTTGCTTACCTACCTTACATAATGGCTGAGGAATTGCATAAGGTCTTGCTTTGGGAACTACGGCAAGCCTTCTGTTACAGACCTTACAGTGGAAAGAATCTTTTGGCAAGGTGCTTAAATTGAGGTCAAACAGCTCAGGATCTGTCTGACCAGACTTAGACATCCACAGTGTAAAGACCTGACATCTGTCCCAGTCACCCCTCCTCCCTTTATCATCATTCATTAATCAAGCACTTCCATGGCATGCTTCATCTCATTCTAAGATTGTATGGGGTATGTCTGGAACAGTACAAATGAAGCTTCTTAAAAGCAAAAAGGCCTGGCAACTTTTAAAATGTAAACTCACTTCTTGATAATTTTGTTGCGTTTGGCTTGTGAGAAGTTCTCCAGCTGGAGGGATTCATGAGTGAGAAAGGCCACTGCCAAATGGAAATAGTTATTCCAGAGCTGTGGAAGAGAAACAAGTCTAAAATAGGAAAAGACAAAGGAAAAGCAACAACCAGCACAACAGAGCTACACAGCCCCAGATGCTGTAGTCTCCCAGGAAAGTGTTAACGAGGAAGCGTACCGACAGTGAGCTGGTAGATGAGTCTGTGTTCTCAGCCATAGCAGGCAAGCCAGAAGCATACAGCAACTTAAAATTTCTCACTCTTTTTAGCTTGTACTTTCCAACTGAAGGAAGTGACAGTGGGTACACCCATACAGTATTTTGTTTTTAACTAGTCAAGCACAAATCAGCTATAGTCAGCATGCTGCTCGACTTGACCTTGTAAAGCCTGCAGCAGTTGCATTTGCTTGCAACTTATTGCTGCACTAACCATAGTTCTATAATTCAGAACTGCTCTGCATTCAGCTGCTTTTCTATAAAAGACTATGGACATTTTCCACGGGCATGCTCTGTATCAACAAATCTATTAACAGTGGGATTTGTTTGTTCTTCCTGCCTTTCAGGACTGGGGTCCGTAAGAAAATCCAGAGACAATGGAACTACTACCTGGAGTTCAAAATTTGCTTGATCCAGAAAGAAACGGTTGAGTACAGAGGTAAATTGGTTCACCGCCCGGAGGAAAACCCTGGAAGAGATAAAACATCAAATAAAAGGTAGCTCTTGAAAAAAATAACATTGCAGTTCTGGGTTTACGACTCCTACATGTAAGCTCAGGAGACAAGAATAGACGCTCCCAAACAAGACAGGTATTCCTCTATAATGCTATTTCACCTCTATTCCCAGTAGAAGGACATTCAGGGAAAGTTATTCCTGTTTATGAGCAGAAGAAAATGTGACTGGAGGCAGATGAAAAACAAAACACTTTTTGGGTCATCCAATCTCTCTGGCTGCAGTGTCATTCCAGATGGTAGGTTCTCTTAAGTTTAGCCTATCCTCACCACTGAAGCATTCAAACAACTTGCCACTTTCATGTCCTTCTCCACACTGCACCCCTACGACACAGTGGAGCTACGCTGTCTCCATTTTGAAGGTAACTTCCATGACTGTGCCATGCAAACAGGACTTACGTGCTTGTTGTTTCTTCATTCCATCCCCAGTTCTGTTGATACTGCCTGCGGGAACATTAAACTCACAGGCATATAGGCCCTGCTGTGTTGTGAACTGCAGATTTTGGCCATGCTTTGCTATCTAGCACAATGGACAGATAGCGAGCCAAAGCCATTCAAATTGTACAGACTTAGCAGGAGAGACTGTCTCACACAAGGCCAAAGTCCACAGCAGAGGACAGAAGTGAACCTGGGTAGTTCTAGTTTACAGGCCAGCACACTAAACCCTAGACCATACTTGTATCCAACTCTAGCTTTATGTTTGCCACGTGATTCCCCCAGAATTGAAACCAAAAAGGCTTCTCTGATTTATGTTGCACTCTCCAGCAGATAAGTGACTGGATGAAAGACTGCATGGTTTTGATTGTGTGCCTTTGGGCAGGAGAAGAAAGATTTCCAGTTTCATCAATAGAAATGTGCAGGCACTACAATTTACTGAAATCTAATTTAAATCACCCTGAAACTGTGAAAGAAAATAAGCCTACCTAACTCCAGTGATTTGCAAGCCTGCTTGTGTGAGTCACCCTCCTTTCAGAACCAGAAAGGCTCCAAAAACAGCAGCAAGACTTAAAATAGCAGCAACTATATACCTGCTCTGCATCATGTTCATGACCATCCAGTCAGTTGCATAAACATTTTTTCCGATCAGATCCTTAAACATAATGAATGTTTCCATCAGGAAGTCCTGTTGGAAAAATAAAAACCACAGCCCATCAGGTTGAATATGGTAGTCTTTTATCCACGTGAAAATATAGGGAAATGCAAATGTTTGCAATTGCATTGATTAACGACTGCATTGATTAGCAATCAATACACTGTACCTCCTAAGAAGGATCTCTTATTGTGTGGATATATTCCAATAACTAAGTTATTTCTGACATCTCATCCATTCAATTACAGAAGGAGAAAAAATTCCACAGAACATGTTGATCTGTTTAATTAACTCTGTCTTTACTGTTGTAGGGAGTTCTGGTGCACAAGCTGGATTAAAAAGCAAAATCAATATTCAAGGATTTGTTTCCAAATGTCTGAATGATGACAGTGTAACAGCCCTATGCAGTATCTTCTATGAAGATGGAAATTATAATGTAGTTTCACTTTCCCAATTAGTTAAGTCTTTTCTGGTCCAGTTTAAGAAGGATAGTTAAACAGAGGTAGTCAACATGCTGTCAGACACATGGTTTAGAACATGACTGTAGAAAAGACACTTTTTGCACAAACACTGCTCCAAACAAAGCTGTATCACAGCTTAAGACTTGGGTAAGGCAAGGTTGAATTGTAGAATAAGAAAAAAGGAAAAAGAAAAAGAAGAGAGATGGGCAAAAGAAGGTAATATCAAGAATATTGATCTCTATATTGTGGTCTTTACAGATACAAATGCTACCTACGAGCATTTAAATGGATTCTACTCTCTACAAAGGCAGCACATTAGCATTCAACAATGGGAGGGACACAAAGAAGGTCACATGAGAAACCACCACCTTGCAAAGATCACCAGCAAAAAAAAAAAAAAAAAAAAAATCTGTTGAGCTTCACAGTTTGCTCTAAAGAATTGGCAAGCGACATCGATGTAGAGAGAGAAGTGGGAATTTGGTGCTGCCTCAGTAAAAATCCTTTAGGCTTTATTAAATCAGAGCTTGATGGAAAGGTTTGGACTTGACGTGGGGCACCTTGACAATATGAATTAACTTGCAACAGTCTTAAACCAACTGAGTAATGATGCAATGCCAGGGCTGAAAATACCAAAGCAAATAAAAACCAACAATAAACAACAAAAATAAAAACAATTGTTACAGTAAAACAAAATGCAGTGTTCTATTGGTATTAACAACTACTACACCACCACAAACGTGGGCTTGCTTCTGTAGATTTAAGAATTTGTAAAAATTAGATTACAAATTGTTATTTTCAATCAGTATCTGTTTAAATGATATGCAGGTAGTTTTAATGATCACCTAATTCACCCTCTTGGTATGTCTTCATATAGATGCTTTATGTATACGCACAGAAATACAAAAGAAATATTCTCCTATTTGAGTCAGAAGATGCATAACTATATGGTAAAACAAGACATCTTCAACTTGCAAGTGAGCTTCAATCTGAAGCTTACATTTCAGGAAAGCTTTTAAGCACCTGTTTAACCTTACCTTGAACTTAAGGTATGACGGTCTCCTATTAGCTCAACTGCTCTTCAGGAAAAAGAAAAAAATTCTGAATTGAGGCCCACTCAACATAAAATTTCTTTCAATTCTGCCTTGAATCCACCTTTTTCTGAATCCATCAGATGTCTTCCTAGCACCCTTCTTCCTCAGACACAGTATTTCTACATAACCCTGCTGAAAACCTTTTCACTCATTTACTTGATGAACACTAGCAGAATTTCTGAATCTACTTGATTTTGTTTTTTCTTCCTTCACAAAAAATTATTTGCGTAATATAAAAAGCAATTCTAATACTAGATGATAAGTGCTCTCTATAGACAATGCAGCTGAGTGGCCTTTTAGATGCAGAAGTGACAGAAATGTGCGTGTCCTGTAGGTGGCTACGTTGCTTAACAGATTGCAAGCAATTGCAACCGCACAGGGAAAGAGAGATCCTTTTTTTTCTTTTTTCCATCCAAAATGAATTACAAACACCTTCTTGTGGTTTTTGATCTAGCTTCTACAGGAAGAACACAACTCCAGGCTCTTCCCCAGCCAGTATTTAAATAAGCAAGCACTTCTAAGTTGCAAAACAAGGACTATGGGGACAAAAAAGTCAGTTGCTGTGTCATGCTTCAGAGACTTGCATAAATACTGGTTTTGGTTCCGACTTGTTCTGGGCAGTCTGGGGAAACATCTGGACAGAGCTGTTAATTCTAAGGGCCTCAAAAAAAAGACCCCAAACGTAGTGTTTCACCTGGTTTCATATTGAAAGTCTTTGGGGACATGAATTGTACAGAGTTTTTAACAGAGGGAACTATTTGCATCGCTGCCCACTAACGCAAGACTAAAGCATTTAATTAAACTCTAGAGGAGAAAGAATTAGAAAGAAGTAGATAAAGAGAATGGGATCACAAAGAGATACAGTGAGAGCAAGAGAGGGGAAAATGCTTTTCCTTTTCATCTTCATTCACCTTTCTGGTTCCTGACTTTTTACTTGCACAGACTTAAATAGTCATTAAATGTGTTTTTACTCAATGGTACAAATGCTATTCTCGGGCTCTACTGTGTCAGCAACATCCACTGTGTATACCCAGCAGGGGTGATGTGAATATATCCCCAGTGGCTGTGGCATTAGGTGCCCGTAAGTCATTGCTGATGAATGCAGCATAATCACTCCAAACTGCATACAGTAACTTGAAATGACCTTTCAGAAGAAGAGTGTAATTCTTTATGGACTGAGCTAATCCCCAGCCAGGCTGACTTACAATAATGTCCTGCCTGGTTTTGAAAGTATTGATGTAATGGTTGTAATGGAAATCATCCATCTGCCTCAGGATGGCTGTCATGCAGGCCACAAAAATACCCTAGAATAGGAAAAACAAAACATTTCATTATTTTCCTATATTAAGCACTGTAAGTTCGAAGTGTGGCATATGCTTTCAGAGTTCTGCCTAATCAAGTTATCACTGATCACAATCCTGCTCACCTATGTCCTGACATCAGTCTGTGTGACTGTTTAGTCCTCCTCCCCAAACCAGTCAAGACTTCCTCAATTTCAAGTATGAAGTCTGCGTATAGCTTGCTTTCTCCCCCGGATGACAGTTTGCAAGAAAAACACATCCTCAAAACAACGGAATATATATATGTATACGAATCACTTCGTTGTATCTTAAAGGTCTTTTCCAACCTAAATAATTCTATGATTTTCAAATTTACTATGGCCAACTGTAATTCTCACAGCTGACATATTGGTAATCGCATTAACTTGAATTAGTTATCAAAAATAAGCTATTGCTCTATATGCCCAGCTCTTGATTTTCCCATCTTTCTGTACATGGTAAATTAAAACATACCAACTTGCTTACACCTTCCAAGATGCCACACAGTAGTCAGAAATGCCCCTTAGAGATGCCTTATCCTTCAGCAGTTAATCCCATTTAGCCAAGGTGACAAAAGAGTATTTTTTCAGCAAAGACTCCTTGTGTATTAGAAACTGCACTGAAACCAAATTCTCTGTGCACAAGGGCCCAAAGGAACTTGACATCACAGCCAACTGTGTCTCAGTTCAAACTGCTGCTGGAATAGGACAATTTGTATCCTAATACCTGGTCTCAGAAAACCACCAAAAGCCATGTTTTAGTAGCACAGAAGCCCTGCAGGAAACGGAAAGATGATTTCATAAACCTCTGCTACACACTGAAATCTCCCAGGAGAATAAATTCCACTATAACAAACGGTAAAGTAATAATTGAAGCAAGTAAAAGGCTCTCACAATGTGTGGAGACTGTCTGCTCATTCCAATTACTGTGCGGTTTATTCTCCTTAGCAGGCGTTCCATGATCAGCTGGATGTGGACAGCAGTGGGCCCCTGGGGATATTCAATAAGGAAAATTTGAGACAATTCTTAACATATACCGTTCTATACAGTGGTCCCTGTGTAGGAGGACTGCCCTGACAGTGGTTAATTGTTATTAGAGGATGCAGAGAAGATTTAAAACACACAAGCAATCGATTCAAATACTGTAGGTATACACTTGGTGGAGAGCTAGCATAATTGATCTATACCAGCTTCATTAGTTCATCCTGGCACAGCTAAACCAACAGCTCTTCAGTTCAAACTATTCTTTTCACAGCAACTTAGAATCAATTTCCATGATTAATGTGGCAAGTAAGTGTATTCTCCTGACTGAATAATGATCGTTGTCCCTATTTCATAGCAGAGAAAACGAGAAACCAAATACTTTTATGACTTGTTCCAAATAATTCAATAAGCCACCAAAGTAGCTGGGAATAACATTTTGTCCCTAGAAAGGAAAGTAATTGCTTTTTGTACTGTAGTGATAACCACTAATTCAACCTTTCATGGTTCCTTTTTAGACACAGCTACTTTATGTGCGAAGAGATTCAAAGAACTATACAGCAATGCAACACAATTTCCGTAAACATCAGAGCTTCGTAATTCTTCAAAGCGTAAGTTGAGAACATTTCTTTGCCATAACTTCTCAAAAGAAGAATTAACCTTAATTTGCACCCTTGACAGTTCATGCTCACCACATCTTTCCGATCCAGGACTTCAAGAACACTGCTAAGTAGCTGTGAGCAGGCCTCATGGTCAGGCTTGTTTGAGTTGTCATCCAACTGGCCACTTAGCTGATCTATTAGTAGCGGCAGAAGAGCATCTCTGCATTCTAAAAAATGAAACAGCACCACATCTTGTTGGTCTCAGAAAGTTCTTCAGCTTTCAGTATACATGGGTACCACACAGTAGCTTTCTGCTCATAACTTTATCTTGGACACCAAAACATGCTTAAATCCACTTCAGTTACCACTAACAGACTAGAGAGAGTCATAAATAACCTGTAATTATATGTATTGCATCAAATAGCGCACTCTCACCTTCTGCCTCTTTCTAAATCAACACACTGGATCAGGATCCTACAGTATTAGGCATTGTATAAAGACTGAACAGCAAAAAAAGTTTCAGTTGTTCCATGGCAAGGAATATTTCTAAAGATGGATTTAACAGTAGACTACCACTCATGACTGATGTAAAGGACACGTGAACTTGAAAGACATTTTTGTTTTTAAGGGTGCGTGGCCCCACACAGAATACAGAGACTTCAATTTGCTACTTACCGGACTGTTTAAACAGATCACTCTCGACTATCTTGGTCATGCAGTTTAGCTTCTGTCGAACTAACTGGTTGTCAGGAATACTTTGGATAAACTTGCTGAAGAGGACACTAGTGTGCAAACCACAAAGTAAGCAGATGGTCAGCATTTTCACCCAATGTGATTCCACCCAACACTTATGCTGTCCTGCACCCGGGCAAGTCAAGCAGTTTTGTCACTGTGCGGACACGTTACCTGCAAGCGGTCTCCAATCAAATTACTATGGAGCCCTACCTTATTTTCAAGAAACTTAGCACAGGACTTTTACTAAAACTGAACAGTATTCAGAAACTGCAGGCTTAAACCTCTCAAAATGAAGCTTGCATCCCAAGACACACTAGATATATCACAAAAGCTTACAAATAGGCAATACTATCTGCCCTCCAGTGCCAGCATAAGATAATCATACTTACTTTCACACAAAATGAAAGCAGAATTTTGCAAAGCTTCAGCAGACCACTGCTGAAACTTGAAACACTGCTATATACAGCAGCAAGAGCATATCCTTCCAGATGCCCCTTTCATCAAGAGTGATCACTCATTTCAATCTGAGATTCCATTAAATTAAATTCCATGTACATTTGCTGTCTGTCTACTGTTTACGAGCAAATTATTTGTGTCAGAAGAAGGAGGCATGGCTGGGAGGTTCTGGGCAAAGCTATGAACACCAAAGAACAGAAATCCACAGTGTGTTGTGAATTTCCTGAAGAAATACAACTTTTGTTTTCCTGACCAAGGCTATGCCTTTGTCACACATTTCAGTTTACCTCAGAAGCAATCATTAAGAATTGGTGGAAACTTGCACAACATTTCAACATATCACTCCCCAGTTCTCAAATTTTGGTTTTCAGCAAAATCTCAAAGTTCCTAAGAAAGAGCCATTGAGATGCATAGATGCCTTTGAACTAAACTGACTTCCTGACTGCAAGTGCTTCCTCAAATTCATGCCCAGTACATGCATCATCATGTCATAATCAGAATGGCTGTTTTTAGGAAAGTTTCCAAAATTCTTCGCAACACATGAGCTGGGTTTAGTGGACAAACAAACTTAATATGGTTACCTGAGCTCAACAGGGTCAAATACTAGTTTGACATCATTTATGATACTTGGCAAATACTTTAAAGCTGCACCCTGCAAGAAAAAAGAAACAAGGACATGAAACACACACGGGAAGTGTGTTAGGCTAGCTAGTTCATTCTGAAAGAGTCTAAAGTCTCAACAACAATGCCCATAGCTCACGTGGCAAATATAGTTTTTTGTCAAGAGCAAATACGTGGACACCTGTAGAGAACTGGCTTAAGATCAAACTTATGCATCCAAAGAGCCTCCAGCAACCACACATCTGCAGTGCAGAGCGGAAAAGGTGAAGGAGAAAGGATTCGTAGCCAAGTTCTTTAGTTTTTGCAAACATCCTGCAGTTCCAGGGATTAAGCTCTTACAGCATGACATGAAAAGCGTTAGTCAGTTAAATTGACTCAGTGTTCTGCATACTTTAGCATGCCCACATACACACTAATAAGTTATCTAGGTACTAGTATGGCTTTCATAAATGTAGCATCCAGGCAACTAGGTGCAACAGCAACTAAAGGTCTCTCTGTGATGTTCTACGGCTGCTGCCAGCAGGTACTCTGACTGCATGAGAATCAAAGTTGGGCTTTAAATCACCCAAGTGCTAATTAAAAGTTTAGAATGAATCTTTCCTTCAAACAGAGAAAAGCATGTTGGCTAGAAGAACTGAAATAAAGCAATCTAAAGGCCTCATTGCCTTTTGCAATTTAGCAGCCTCATTGCGTGGCTGCTCTGCTCCTCCTCAGAGTATAAACAGAAGGTTCGTAATCCAGTCAGCACCAGAAAAACAAGCAAGTATAAAATCTAAGATACATTCAGAAACCATTTGTTTTTTTCATCACTTTCATCCCCTGCATTACATTGATTTTTGCAGTAGTTTAACACTCCTATCTCCATCACCCTCAAAGCTTGGTGTTACTGGTTGAAGTAATCTACCGCAGTGTGGAAGACACATCTTCGTTGGTTGTTAGCTTTCATCCTAGCAGGTGCTGAAGGGTTTTCAGCAAAGCCACAGCTCTCATCTTTATTTGATAAACTGTGGGGTTTAAATACTCCTTTCCTGCCACACACAGTTCATTAAAGCAGACATTCAGAGGTGGTGTGACTCATTTGAATGGGTTTCACATGCCTCAAAGCTTGTCTCTTTTTCTGCCTCCCCTCCCCCAACTGTATCATAGAATCATAGAATCACTAAGGTTGGAAGAGACCTCTAAGATCATCGAGTCCAACCGTCAACCCAACACCACCATGCCCACTAAACCATGTCCCTAAGTGCCGCATCTACTCGTCTTTTAAATACCTCCAGGGATGGGGACTCAACCACTTCCCTGGGCAGCCTGTTCCAATGTTTAACTTGAGGCCATTTCCTCTCGTCCTATCGCTTGTTACTTGGGAGAAGAGACCGACCCCCACCTCGCTACAACCCCCTTTCAGGTGGCTGTAGAGAGCGATGAGGTCTCCCCTCAGCCTCCTTTTCTCCAGGCTAAAAATTAGATCAGTTGATCTAATAAAAAAATATTACCTCTCCCTGCAAATTATGCATACCTTAATCTTGACAGCCTCCTCTAAAGGCCGGTCCATGAGGACATTGAAGGAGAGGAACAGCTTGCGTATTGCATCATTAAATTCATCCCCATCTTCACTTTTCCCATAAAACCTACAAAGAACAGAAAGAGACAGTTATACACATAAATCTAGGCTAACAGTGTCATAGTAGCTGAAATACGGTTTTATCCTGTGGAACACCATCTTAAAGCAATCTCCTTCTACAAAGACATGAGTCTAAAAATGGCATCGGGGATTCTGCAGTCATTTCCTGATGAAATCTGTTATAAAGGAAAAGCTGCACTTTTTAAACTGCCATTGCATCAAACTCTGCTTGGGTTCCAAGAATCAGGTAGCTGATTCTGTATTAAACAAAAAAGCCAGAATGAACATGAGGAAAGGATTCCACACATTCACTGTAAATCTTTGAAAACATGTTTTGAGGCTATGGTAAAACCACTGTCATTGACCATATCCTAACTAGACAACGTGCCGCCCTCACCTCACCTAAGAAGTAACCGCGTGTGCATTTGTTTCTTAAAGTTTCTTAAAATGAGGAAGTCGTTCCATGTTTTAATTTTTTAATAATAACAGGTTCCTTTTCAGCACTACCATATGCTGCTTGTGGCATGCTACAGGTGACTAAAAGGATTCTCCTCTTCAAATTAGGTATTTCAATTTTTACTTGACTTATTTTCTCCAGCTGTAGACAAAGGGCAGAAAGATACTCTTCTTAAAAATTCAAGGGTAGAGGATATGCTGAAGAATATCCCCCCCAGCGGTGTTGACTGGAAGTAACTCCACTGACTTCCAAAAGGAGACATAAGGATGGCAATGACCTTGGGCTCACCTCAGGTACAATATTCGTGACTGAACAATGAATCGGAATAGGTACTTCAAGGCTTTCAGAGCAGCAAATAGCAATTCTGTCTTGCTGGAGTCATCAGCATTTCCCACGTAACAGTTCAGTACTTTGGTGAGTTTCCTTTGGAAGGAAAACAAGAAGGAGAATAAATATAGACACAGTTAAGTTTCTGTATAAGTCCAGCTTCCTTATTCCAGAGACGAACTACAGTCTAATAAATAGGTAACAGACAGGGGATCCTCTTCACAGCCTATTTCCTTCTGAAATCTTTGGCTCCATGGAATGTCAGATTTTCATAACCAGTTCATGAATTCTCAGAAAAGTCTACAAATTTGTCTACAAATTCTAGCTTCTTGATCTGCTTTTCTCTTTCCCTAAAAGGAAGTGTTCAGGAAGCTGGAAAACCCATTACTACTGAAAGTGGACTGACACCTTCTCAACATGTCAGCATTCTCATGTGCGGAGCACAAAGTTCTTCTGAAGCAATACTTGCTGAGTGCTTTGAGAACTGTGGATCGAAGTTGCATAAACACATTATGAGTATTTGCTATCTAGTCTCTGCCGAATCAGGAGATCAGGTTCTTCTGTGAGTTCTACGGCAGTTAATATTCAGGCAAAATCCTCTTATCTTCATTAAACAACACACAGCACCCAAAGTGGTGTGTGAGTGATAGTTAAGTATACAACAGCTTTTGCACTTGCTTGCTCTACTTGCCACGCTGCCAGCAGCCAGTTCCCTGCTTTGTCAAATTCTGGCATGGGGAGCACACGAAGGACAATATACAATATTATAGTCCACTTGGCACTAGGTAGATACTATATTGTCAAGCTAAGCTGGAAAGGCAGGCAAGGGAACAACAAAGCTAAGATACCGTGTGCTCATTAATCAGACAAAGAAGTTTATTTATAGTAAAGAGAAATAAGAATGATGAATCTTCCATAGGTTACAGGGAAGAAGGAATGGAAATCATATGCAAGCAGTGATTGTGTGGCCAGGGCAGGGAAGAAGAAAGCAATCCAGGAGATGGGGACTTCAGAGCTTTGTGGAATCGTGTTTCCTCACAGAATTATCTTTAGGTTGACAGCCATCAAAAGAGGCTGAATACTCAGGACTAGGAATTCATGCATACCAGTAAAAATAAGAAGAGATTTTTAGAGGGGAAAAGGAGTTTGGTTTCTGGTTTTGCCCTCCCTATTGGCCCCAGTTTTAACTTTTTAGTTGCCTGTTACCATGAGGGTAATGACCTTTGGGTTGAGGGGAGCTAGATCAAGGAGCTGGAAAGTCAAGAGATCCAGGTGTTATTCCTGGCTTCTCCACCAACTTCCTGGGTAGCCTTAGGCATGTAAGCCATGACTAGCTATAGCACTTAAACAAATGCCTCATTTTTAAGCACATGAAGTCAACAAGTTGACTGAAAGGACTAAGTTTTCACAGGTACCTAAATAAATTTTACGCATCAGCTTTTCCTTTCCTGATAAAATAGGACTAATGATTGTGAGCTGAATTTTTTAAACTGCTTTGAGCTCCAGAGATAAAAACGCTACAGGGAAACAGAATTACTCCCACTGTCCATACCCACACATCCAAATGTGAAGAATTGCAAATTTCTTCTAAACAAATGACAGTCTATGGGAGAGAGTTTCAATATGTAAGTATAATCTCATGTAATCTGCATGTTTAAACCCCACCATGACATGAAGAACTGCAAATTTCTTCTAAACAAATGACAGTCTATGGGAGAGAGTTTCAATATGTAAGTATAATCTCATGTAATCTGCATGTTTAAACCCCACCATGACATTTAGCCCTTTTCTGAAGTCTGTAGCCTCCTCACCCTGCCTGGTTGTAGGCAGACAGTGGAGGTGAACACCATTCTTATCTCTGTTACCATCAACCACAATGTTGCTCATATTATTTCAGCCACATATGGTTCTGCTTCTGCTCCCCGTGACCCTATTCAAACATACCCCTAAAATTGTAGCACAGAGTACAAAGTATACAGACTATTTAAAACTCTTCTGCTCAAAGTACTTTCGGAGTGGGGTAGATTGAAAAGGTTGAGGCAGATACTGGCAAGACAAAACACTTCCATGAGCAGCAATACCTATCAGACCAGATTTCTTATGAATTTGTGTTCATCAATTTCCAGCCCCACCCCACATACCAACTTACAATATTTTCCGCTGCCTTCTGCATATACCCAATAACCACCACCCCTAGCCCCCAACAATCTTTTAGCAGCAATACTAGACCAAAGGACTCAAAAGTTATAGGGGAGAGTTGTATACTGACTGATTGCATGAACCTGTGTTCAATAGGAAATCAGGCTGAAAAACCATGAAGATGCATTTACAACACAAATGCACACAGAGGACTACAGGTCAAAAGAGTCTGAATCACAGTCCGATAGAGGATTTTCCACGATAGCTGTGTCTTTTCCTTACAGAAACAATTCTTACAACAGAAACTTTTTACAGGGTAAAAAGAGTAATTACAGGGTTTCTTTCTCTCCTGAAAGCAGAGAAGGATAGGGCGGAACACTCTCGTCTGGTCTATGCTGCCTTTATCACATTAGCATAGTTTGCTGAAATCATCAGTGAGACACTGTCTGAATGACAGCCTGTGGGTCTGTGGTTACCAATACTTACACATATGCCAGGGTTGCACTGAAGTGCTTGTAAATATAAGTTTCAAGTACAGGGTTGAAATGCTGGAACTTGATGTCTCCGATCAAAGAAATAATAAACACCTGCCAAAAATTCAAAAGGAAACAGATGTACAGAGCCGCACAACCTCTAACTAACACAAACATAACTCAGTCTCTAATTGCACGTCATTTATTTTGCTGGGTCATGGTTTTTGTTTGTTTGTTTTTCTAATAGCATTAGTGCTACAGATAGTGTTGTTCATATTCTAATAGTGACTAAATACTGTGGTGTGTGCAACTACATCATTGCTCAGAGGGAAGGTAGGTCATAGCAGCATTTATACAGGGAATCTTAATACAGGGAGCTACTCCACAAAGCAACAATGGTGACACAGGAAGCAGCACTACTCACAGTCTTTATGTGACACTGTCATTGCACAGGTTAAATAGGCACAGAGCTGCTGAAGGCCGTTTTTCAAAGCTAGGAAATGATGCTTTTCAAGCCAGAACTTGAGATTCTGATCATTTATACTCATTGCAAACACTCAGTCCTGTTACTACAATGACAGGTATTAGAGCCAGGACATTCTGTCCCCTTATATTCACTCCCCTCACCAATGTCAGCTGGATACATCTGACTTCACATTGCTCCCTGAACTATCAAGTACATATTTGCTGATCAGCATGAAGCACACAACTTTGTTACTGCACTGCACACCAGAGTCAGTGCCTTTCACACACATACTATGCAGCCTCTCCAAAGATGCAGAAAACTCCCTGTGAAGTCTTTTGCTCAGTCATTACAATCCTTCTATAAAGGTTCAGAGGAGCAGTCATCCCTACTGCCTAAGTACTGGGCTAGGATTTAGGGTGCGTAGGCTCTATTCCCGCCACAGCCACAAATCCTCTACCATCACGATCCTGAACAAATCATTTCACTTTGTGTGTCAGACAGAAAATACAGCTTTTCTCTTTTGTAAATTGCCTTAATGCAAGAAGTTATCTGAAGAAATTACTATAAATTATGTAAACGGTTATTACTGTTCTCACTGTGGTCACTAAAAAGCTCAATGTATATCTCAGTCCTAGCTCCTGAAAATGCCTTAAGAAGTGTTTAAATATAATTTATTTCTCAGAGCAAAATATCAATCAGTCATCTCAAGGAAGCACCAGGAACAGACTGAAAATGTGGCTGAAAAACAAATACTCTAAATCCACAAAAAAAGACTCACTCACCAGTGCATCAAACACAAGGAAGTCATAGGTTTCATTTTCTGACATTTCCATCATTATGTTGAAAAGTGCATCAAGGGTGTCTTGCAAAAACTAGAGGGGAAAAAAGATAGTAAAAGGGTAGGAAAAGACTACTACTTCTGGAATCCTGCACAAGAGCCTACTCTTTTGGACCCTTTTCCCCTTCCAGCCTAGCTCAGATGAACTGTAAAAGCTGTATGTGAAAGAACATTTAAAAAGGGATCTTAGTCCTGTATTCATTCACACGCTTATCATGATCATCACGCTACTCTCCCTCACTATAGCAAGGAGGATCTTTTCTTATCAGCTCTGAATGGCCCCACTTTCTTTTCTGTTCTGTTGCCTTTTTATCTAGCAAGAGACCTACTGAATACACTTAATTGTGTCCATATAGTTTAAGCTTGAACTGGGCCAAATCAACCACATACACCGTACTAAGGCGTGACATTTTACATAAAGACTGGTTTCAATGAACAGTATTTACTTTAGTTGTTCGGCAGTTAAGTAAAACCATGACCTTGCATAAGCCCACAAGATCCACACTTGGAACCACAGGAAGTCTTACCTCCTAAATCCTTCAGCAGACTATTTTCTGTGGCGCTTCCGCACATTTCAGGTCTATTCCCCACAGTACTCTGTCTATAAGCTCTTTGGGCCTTATCTGCACTCTGTTCCTAGATCCACAGCAAGTCCCTATTCACAAAGGAGGCCCAGAGCCACTACTGAAAATTAACAGTTAGGCTTTGAATGTATCTTCTATTTCATAAGGATACAGGGAAAAAGGAAGTCACCACTACCTCCCTGATCCTGGTAACATTTAACTTCTGTAATTCTGGTGAATTCCACTAACGAGAGCTCTTGGGGCAAAGTAAACCTTTTGTTCTCCTGTTGCTCAGCAGCTAGAACAGCTCTCCTAGCCTATATAAAGAGCTTTTGGGTACAACACAATTACAACCCTTCAAGGTCAACATCAAGGACATATGTAAGTGTTTGCATAACAAGGCCACTCAAATCTCTATGCATACCTTTACAATTTCTCCTCCTTCCACCTCCATTAGCTTCCTTAGGTTGTGAGCTATGTTCTGAGAGTTAGAACGCCAGTTTAACAAACCCAGCAGGTCAACTAGCAAGGACAGAACATCAGCAATTAGAAACAGATTACAACAACACAGCTGCCTTAATGGCTGCAGAATAATAGAGAACAAGTACTAGAGGTTATTTTTAGAATCAGCTTACGAGAAAAAGTCACACTGATGTATAGAATATTACCTTGAGATGGTTCTTTTGTCTTGGCAAGAAAGTTAAGTTTTGCTATAAATGGAAACCTCGGTGTAATTTGATAACACAAGGCATTTGGTAGACAATTTTGCAGGCTTCTCATTCACTCAAGAGAAGGTATCTCAAGCTAGGAATTTTATTAGAGTGCATGACTTTTCTTACTAATGCTTGTGTTTACTTTAGAGCTGCCTCTTGGAAATGGTTCTTAAAGTTAAAATTGAAACCTCTTGTATAAATTACATTAAGCTGCAGAGCTGTTTATCATAGTTCTGGGACATCCCAGGACCTCAATTTTAGTTACAAAATACAGTTGAGGCTTTCAAAGGAGTCTAGCAGGTTTCACACACATCTTCCATGTTAATGAAATATGTACATCATCTCTGTTCTGAAACTAAATTCATTTACTACCTTCAGACGTAGAGATACATGTGAAACTTAACAGCCTTGACAAAGAATGCCACATTCATAAACAGAGGTTACATGCAGGAGCGCAGAAAGATGCAAACATGCTCGGTCTGCATGTCAGACAGGATAATGAAAGTCAGATTCAGTCCTCACGCACGTGGATGTATCTGTATGGCATTTAACTTTAGCTAACTGGCCAAGCTCAAACTGCAAGCAGGACAACTCATGCCCATCTCCCAGCAGCTACACAGGTACATCTTGATAGAGCCACAGCTGGTGTCATTTTCACATGCTGCTTTCCCAAAGTCAGAGAGTATGTTATACCAAGAGCCTTCCAGAGCTACCGGAAATCTCACATCATTTACCAGCACATACTATATTCATTCACATATATACATCATCCTTCATTTTGACCACTTTGGCAGCATGCAAAGCAGAGTTACTGCATAACAACATGCTGAAGAGTTCAGTTCTAATTGCTACATTCTCAACAGGCAGAGAAGATAATTAACCTTAAACATAAAGGATTCTGAAAACATATGTACACTGTCACTGACAGGTGCCATTTCTATACATGCCGACAAGCCTGTTAGATTTAACATTGGTAGTTTGGATAAAATATTCATGTGACATGGTCTCTAGTGGCTTCGGAAACATCTTTGTAGCTTGTATTGGCAACATGATGCCAACAATGCTGGGATTGGGCTGCTATTGACACATGAAACAGCAAGATTAAAGCTAAAGCACTATGCCCACACATGCTGCAACACCAAAAAATTTGCATAAAGAAAGTGCCCTCTTTACTTCAAATATACAGCATGATACCGCTAGGCTGCTAATGCAAGACCTACCATTCTGGGTAAGTTTGGTGGAGCAGATCAGAGTGCCAATCTGGAAGCTGTCTTTTGTACTATCTTTAGTGGGTGTGAAGTTGGCTAGATGGTGCAGATTTTTCCCCGAGGGGGCTTCCTTCTCCTCCATCTCCATTTTGGTACAAGGAAGAGTTAAATAGCATTTAGCATCTTCCATTTTCTTGTTATCACCCTGTTGGTTGAACACAGCAAAGACAAGGGTTATCTCACACTGAACACACCTCAACTGACCTCTTGCAGTTCTCATCTGCAGACACACTTCAACACAGTGACAGCCAGAGAGGGCTTTAAACACCTTCTCATGTCTATAGTTGTTCACTCACATTGTCTGTTTTGGACCTCTAACTTTAGGAATAGAAGTTGCCCACACTGCCAATGAACTAAGCTCTTTCAGAGTGATTCAAGCCACAGAGTTTAGGAGGTTTTTTCCCCCCACCTCACTTTGTAGCTTTCTACTGCAACGCATTAACTATTTCCTCTTACTGTGATTAAAGGCACCAGGTCTCTCTTCCCATCACACACTGATCCTCCAAAGTGGGTGTTCACCAGGCCTGTTTGTTGCACACTGTCTAGGTGAACGATGTTAGAGGAAAAGTGCTCTATACTGATACATACAAGGATGTACCAGATTTGTGTACTTGCAGTCAGAAAACCCATCAGTGAAAGCAGAGCTGAGGGTGACTTATTTAAAAAAAAAAAAAAAAAAAAATAAAAATTAAAAATTACTGTCCTATTATCCTAGAATTATCCTAGAAAAATTTTTAAAAATCTCTGCAATGATGATGTTTACATTGCTAGGAAAAGAGTCAGCCAAGAGTTGTTTTGATCAGTTAAACAAAAGTGAAGACTGCAAATGCCCAAGCTACCTTATAAACAATCAAATTGTGTTTGCCATCTTGCAGTGTTGTTCCATCTGCATTCATCAACTTCACAAAGCCCATGCCAAAAGCTCTCTCAGACTTATCCCTGGCTGCAAACAGAAAGAAGAATCTTTATTAGGAATCGCCTTGTTTACCCCCATACTATCCATAATGCAGCTAACTACATGCAGCTTCTTTATTTAATAGCATCACACGATAATGTGATGGATCTAGCAAACTCTGTGATCCACAGTAGAAAGAGCTCTCTTTCTTTCCCTCTCATCTCAAGGCACTTAGTAGTTATCTGCAGCTACACAGAAAAACATCCTTTCTGAAGCATCCCTCGCCACACAATTTTAGCAGTCAATTGTGCTACTAGATGGACATATATAATTGTCTTGATATTTTGTTTGGGATTTTGCAAATCTGCTTGTGAGGTATGGATGTGGAATTATGTCACTGCATCTCCCAATTACCTTAAGAGATTTTTTTTGAGAGCCTTTCAAGGGCTTAGTCTAACATTATTGATCATTTCAGGGCTCTGAAGTCGTTTGATGAAACTTCTGGCTCTAACTTTCTCATTAGCCTTTAATTAACCTAATTAGAAATCCTCCTATAGGAGGACCATTAGAAGCCCACCAGGCCTTGCACTGAATTTTGTGTAGGCCTTGAAATAAATTAAAAGTTGTGGTGAATGGAGTTAAATCCAGTTGGCAGCCAGCCACAAGTGGTGTTCCCCAGGGCTCAGTATTGGGGCCAGTTCTGTTTAATATCTTTATCAATGATCTGGACGAGGGGATCGAGTGCACCCTCAGTATGTTTGCAAACAACACCAAGTTGGGCAGAAGCGTTGATCTGCTCGAGGGTGGGAAGGCTCTACAGAGGGATCTGGCCAGGCTGGATCGATGGGCCAAGACCAGTTGTATGAGGTTCAACAAGGCCAAGTGCCGGGTCCTGCACTTGGGTCACAACAACCCCATGCA